CCCCAAAACCCCAAAACCCCAAAACCCCTCGATTAGCTGGGATGGTTGAATATTTGAATGAAGTTTAATTAAACCCATCAGGGTCTCCTCGAATCCTATAGAAGTACTCTTTAGTGTTTGACCTTCGACTCTTCCTTTTGGTTGCTCTCTTTGAAGTCTTAGCAGACCAGTAATTTATAAAGTCTCTTCCTTGCCTTGTAGGCTTCTTCAAGTAGATCTCATTTCCCATTGGAGAGAATGATTTCTTAATTCTTTTTTTCTCTAAATTATTGTTAAAAAAGCCTTAGCCAGGCAAAATAGTGGGGCTATTGACTTAATAAGTCAAATTTTGATAAATCATAATCCCACTTTCACTCAGATTGCTAAATTTATAACCTACTTGTCTCAGCGAAATTTTCTGATCCTGTGTATTCCTTTGCTAATTTGAGTCCTTGCTTGTTAACTTTAAAAATAGTTAACTTTGAACGGATTTTTCTATTTTCTAAGACTGCTTTCATTGCGAGGATCGTTGTTTTGAGTCATAGAAGCTCCCATACGGCTATCTCTCGATTTTGACAGGGAATTCAAGGAACTGACAGATAGATTCATTGGGTGATTCCTATCGTTCACAGAATACTTTGTGTTATCAGTAATTTGAGTTGTTAACAACGGTTTTGTATCCTTCCTATTTCTTATATGCAGGTTCCGATTCTTGTGTTCAGTGTCCTCGATCTTCTTGAGGATGTTGTGAACTTGGGATAAATTATGACTTCTCTTATTTGTCGCATTATTATCGTTAAATATACTCTTTTCTGTTTTATCCGGTGATTCGTAAAGGAAGTCAATTCTTGATCCGTTTGCATCGGTAAACTTACTTTTAGTATGACTCCCGGACCTAGTTTAATAAATTATTACATATATATTCGGAGGGAAATGGGTGGCTTTACAATGCTTCTGGGTTTGCACCTACCGATCTTGGTTTAGCTTCAGAACTGAATCCTCTCGATTACAGATTATTTTCTTGAGTGGTATTTTCTGATCAATATCAACGATTTTGTACTGTCTCCTGAATGGTTTCCTTATCCGGTTCTCTGAGTTATTTCAGGTAGTCTTCAAATTTCTGTTGATTTTGCATAATTTTTTCAAAATTTTCACGAAGATGAACATTTGCCACAGAGAGGTGACTGTGATTAAGCAAATTTCTCCTTCTTCTCCGGGAGTTATACCTTGTTTTAAATGGATGATTTATGTATTTTTGTACTGGTTTGATGTGGCTAGAACTTATTTCTTGCCTGGAATCCGACATTATAACTGGATTCACTGGAGAAGCTGGAGTTAAAACGTGGGAGAGTAATTTATTCAAGTTCTCATCATTTCTTTTATTCATAACTTTCTTAAAATTTCGCTTTCTGTTTATCTATAAATAATTAATGAAAGGCTTGAAGAAATTGGTTAGCAAGTCATCTGATCTATCGCAAGGAAGAAAATTGAGTTAATAAAATTTAAACTATTGGGATTTACCTAGTTTTTCAAGCCTAGTTATGTGCTTGCATTCCTTATTTACATTGAGAATTTTGAGAGGGCTATTTTGACTGTTTCCTTTTGGCTCTCCATTCTTTCTCATCAAAAGTTACATCGCTTAAGATAAACTTGTCAAAGTTGCTAATGATGTAATTTGATGAACGTCTGGGTTTAGACCTTTGGTTCATATTAGACCTAGCCCTCATGTTGGATTTGGCTCTAAATCTGCTCAAATTTCTCCTCCCAAGGCCTGCATATTTCAGTACTCTTGTTGCTGGGATTATGGCTTCTCTCTTTTCCTTTCTTCTGAGTGTCTTTGAGGTATTTTGTGATATCTTTGAGGGCTTCTTTGAACTTCAGATTAACCATTTTATTTCTATTTAAACATATTATCTTGGGGTTTTGGGGTTTTGGGGTTTTGGGG